GACGTAGAAGATGTTGAAATTGACTCTGGAGCAATCAATTCAATTATATCTTCTTCAATATCAATCGGATTAATTTCTTTTCTCTTTCTTTTCGGATCGAGATTAGATTTCTTCAGATTCCTCGGCAAAGATGTAAGTCTTCCTCGAGATATAGATGATCCTGTTCCTCTAGAAACAGAACTTCCACGCGATTCTTCTGTCGGTATTTGAGAAGAGGATGGACGACTGGATTCGTTCGTAGGATTTAATAGGGATGTTCGAGCTGATGTGCCGAACGTAGATCTCCCGAATACAACTCCTGCTTTACGATATTCTTCCGGTGTCAAAACTCCTGCTTTCTCCGAATTCTTCGAAGTACGCGGTTTTCCTGATGAACTAATGTTGACAGTTCACAGAAATGGTATCACAAAGATCAACACACTTCTACCAAATAATCGAATATAATCCAAACAAACGTTCAATTTAATTTATCAAGCTAAATGTAGCTTCAAAACCACCCCTCGCGGTGGGCTCCAGATAACGAGCTTGCCTCGTTTTTGTGTGAAAGAGAAAGGAAGGAATCTAATGGGCACTCCAACCAACCAATCTAATACACAATATGCGAGTTCACTGCTATCAAATTTATTTAATAGCAAGGGGTAGCGTTGGCAAAGGTTCCGCAAAGCTTTGAGAGCTAAGCACGAAGCTTTGATCAATCAATTTGAATCGTTCTAAGGGTTCGATATATTCCTTTGATCAAGGTAGATTCAGCACGATTTGTGCTTTGGTTTGTATTGATTTGGGTATATCAAGAATTGGGGGTTTGAATCAAAGTAAATTAAAACCGAAACACACAGACCCCTACGGAGGGCTAGAACTATGTGCTGGCACAACCACACAGCGTGATTTGCCCTTAAGACCAACGACTGATCCTAAGTTCGAAGAATACCCAACAACTGGATATACTTCTCGCAGTCACAAGGAGCAGAACACGACGTTCCTATACTCACAAGTGCCGGGCCCGAATGGCTGCTAGCGAAGAGGTTTCAGTCTGGCGGGAGTGTGTCTTTCCTTTTTACGGATTAGCACTGCAATGTCGTCCCAAAATCACTTTTATTCCAGATACATCGGATCGCTATTTATACATACAGAATATAGAGTCGCATAGTACAATTAATTTAATACAATAAACGTTCGGAACCGCAAGGAAACTTCTACACTCAGTCAGATACCATTTAATTTGAATCTACATGTCCTTATTTGGTCCATATTGGTTCCAAGATTCTAGTATACCTCCAAACATAGGTAGGTACTTCAATATTCATTTAATTTAATTGTTTTTAGAGAATGACTCGAATGGTGTTCAACTGTCATTGCGGTTCAACACTTACTTCGATCGTTTGTCATTTCGTCCGGAGGCAAATCAGCTCTCCTCGATTCTAATCCTATCAATCTGATTCATCTGGATTAAACTAATTGCTTCTCTCTTTCAACAGACACCCATTGTGCCTATACTCTATCAAGGGAGTTACGCATAGTATTCATTTAATTGCATTCTTCAATGTTTTCTACGTCAGGACTCTTTGACATTCATTTGATATGTCTTCGGAGCCTCGCAGTCTTTCGATCGTTCTTCTAGTCATTTTCCTCAACCATGCAACTTGATTGGTCTATTAGACTAAATCGCAGTCCTTTAGATTAATGCATGATCTTGTTCTAGAAGGAGTATTTGGTAATTCCTGAGTTCTAGAAAGTCATTTCGAGTCAATCCTCGGTTCATGGTCACTTGAGTAAGTTCTTCCAAACTCCTGCCAGTGTAAGGTCCAATAAGAATACCCTTGGTATGTCATACGTGAATGGTCATCCTTCGGATGTAGTCCGAGTCTGGTATAATCCTGCTTGACAAACAGGTAGACTGCTATCCGTAGGTAGTATCGGGGATGGGTAAACTGACCAACTTGTGGTAGTATGGGTATATGGTCCCTTCAACTTGTTAGACTGATTCAGTATTGACTTTGACTGTCAATCTGGGTCTCAATTACAGTCCTCTTGATACAAATCTATACGTGAAAATGTCACAATTCACAGCATAGATGTCTAGCCAAAATTTAGGCGTGTCACCGGCCCGGCCCGGAGCGGCCGGACTTCGGAATAATTACCTTGTGACTTATTTATTATTCCGAGCTTTCATCGAGGTCTTATGACTACTGTATTTGGGATGTATATAAGCTAGAATACTTTGTACGTTGTAGTCAAGCTTGAAATCAAGTGTACCATCCTATCCCAGTCTTTAATATCTTCTTTACCCTTTGCTTCCGGACTCCCGGATCATCAGGAACCCCATTTAGGCTGCTCATCCCAATCTTGCACTCTTGCCATAATTCCCAGGGACACCAACAGTGTGTGAAGGGTGTTGCTAATAGCTTCACCAACGTCCCACTCCCAGTGTGTACTACAGGCCAATACTCAGTTCCGGACCTCGGAATTATCCCGGGCCAGATCCGGCCTCAGAACCTCTATAGTTATTGACCTGTAGGCACGGTCTTGTCAGTATTTCAAGCTTACACTTCATTACACTGTTCCTTCACCGAAATACCCCTCCATTATGTCCTTTGGCTCTGATTCAGGATCCTTCCTCGAGTATGCCTTATCTTTACCTGATCCGGTTGGCCCGGACCCGGAAACTTCGGATTCGTCGGACCAATCTAGCCCATCTGACCACAATTCTGAACAAGAATCAGTTCAGTCCGGTACTATTTCCGATCCTGACCAGTCAAGTTATGACTCGGAATTTCCTGGCCCATTTGATTATGATTATCTTCATGAATCCTCTGACTTCGACTCGGATCACCCCGGCCCTTATGATCTCTGTTACCTACATTCCTATCCTTCATCCTCAGCCTCAGACTCGGTTGAGTCTTTCCACTCGTTTGCCTCTGATAACTCCGAAGCGCCGGAACTCCGGCCCGGTGATGACAGATCTGGACATCCTCACCTCGGACCCGATGGCAGGCTTTTGGACTCTGAGAGGGAAAGGCGCAGGGTGCTCGGGTTGTGCTTTTATTGTGGAGGAGAACATATGAAGGTAAATTGTCTCAAACTGCAGGCCCGTACAGGACAGAACTACGATGCAGATAACTCTGAATCGGATGTTCCGGGCTCCGATGATGGTTCCGAGTAATTCCTAATTTTTTCTACATTTTAATTCCGAATTTTCCGACCATTTCCGAGTCTTAGACCGAGTTTTCCTTTCCTTTCATGATTTTCACTTATTTGACCTTACAAATTCCTTTCTTTCCGAACTTCGGCCCGATTTTTATGCCTTTCATGATTATTGATTGTTTGACATTATGATTTACTTCATTTCCGAATTTCGGCCCGATTTTTTGCCATTACTATTCCAAATATTCATTTTTTATGCTAGAATGCATTTCCGCTTTTTCCGAAATTTCGGCCCGAGATTTTGCACCTTTCCATGATCAATTTTTGTTGACACTATAAATTACTTTGTTTCTAAGCTTCGGACCGCTTTTTTTTTCCATATGTTCCACTCCTGTTTCGAGTTTTTGAATATTCAGGTAATGTTTCATTGTAACGACTATTATTGCTTCATTCCGGCCCGATTATGCCGATGTTTTTGCTTATTATTGATTACTAACTGTTCCATTCCATGTTTCCGACCTTGCTCCGATTTTTCCGTCATTTTATTGACATTATCTCAAGCTTGCTCATTAGCACTTCCATTCACTTACCTGTTATCATTTCTATTTATGTTGATTCCTTTGCTTCACCCACAAGCTGCTCCTCTTTTTAGTAGGATTTCATTGATTATTTGTTAGGATATAGTTTCTACTCCCACTTAGATCCGTTGATCTGCCGGGTAGACCGAAACACTCTTTTCCAACTCATTTTTTATGATTTTCCTTATAGCGCTTTCCGGCTTTGCTTCTCTTGGAACTTCCGGTCTCGGGATGGGTCTACCATCATTCTGGACACTTTGTGTCAATTTCGGCCTTTTTAGGCATCGCTCTTGTGTGGATATCAGCTCAGGTTATCATTTCTGGCAGCACTTTGTGTTGATTGGTATGCCGGACTTTTCCGCAGTTTCCGACGATTTTTCCGGCACAATCCCGCCCCTCGGTTCGGATTTTATTCCGAAATTTTCCCTACTCCATTACCCTATCCTCCTACATCACCATTTACTCCAACTTTGGCTCTTGATTCATGGCTTTCGAGGGCTCAAGCGTACTTGGGGGATACTGCTGTATTCCAGTCCTGTAGTCCAATTTTCGGGCCAAGCCACTCCCGATTTTTCCGAATTTTGGAACTTGTTTTAGTCTTTCAAGACTTCAGAACACTTTCCGGCTGGCCCGGACTTCGGAAGTTACGTGGTCATCCATTCTTTTGTTGATTATTTTGTTACGAGTTTACTTTGTTTCAATCTGGTTTTTGTTTGCTTTATTATGTTTCTTTGACCCCCTACATCGGCAGGCCGATCCTTTCCAATTTCTCCAAGACTTCCACTTTTAATTTATTCTTCACTACTGGATCTAATCCAATCCCTTTGCTTTACTATACTTTACTATTTCACTGCACACATATTCACAGAGGCCTTCGTGGGCTCAGGCCTAACGGGGGGATACTGTCATATGCATGCAATTCACCCCATATGCTTCCCGTCCCGGCCCGGAGCGGCCGGACTTCGGAATAATTACCTTGTGACTTATTTATTATTCCGAGCTTTCATCGAGGTCTTATGACTACTGTATTTGGGATGTATATAAGCTAGAATACTTTGTACGTTGTAGTCAAGCTTGAAATCAAGTGTACCATCCTATCCCAGTCTTTAATATCTTCTTTACCCTTTGCTTCCGGACTCCCGGATCATCAGGAACCCCATTTAGGCTGCTCATCCCAATCTTGCACTCTTGCCATAATTCCCAGGGACACCAACAGTGTGTGAAGGGTGTTGCTAATAGCTTCACCAACGTCCCACTCCCAGTGTGTACTACAGGCCAATACTCAGTTCCGGACCTCGGAATTATCCCGGGCCATTCCCGGGCCAGATCCGGCCTCAGAACCTCTATAGTTATTGACCTGTAGGCACGGTCGGTCTTGTCACAGCCTGACAACTTTTTTCCGGTGTGCATACTGGGGAAGCCGAATCTCAAGCAAGAGATCAAGGAATCCCATGATCGCTTGGCCAGTACGTATAGCATCAGCAAATACGATTGCAGTTGGAATATCCTGGATGGAGGTCGCATCAAATGGAATAAGAAAGGCGAGGTCAAGGAAAGTGGAGGAACTAGTGGGATGGCTGAGGATTCTTGGGATATAGTAGATGTTGGGACGATCAAGATTATACCATGCATTGATGTAGTGTCCGGGATGGAAACCCAAAGCTTTCCCCACCTCCAGTGCTTGTGCTGGGGTGATGCTACCAGAAACAGCAGTCCATTGGGTTTCATGAGGGAGAATATCTCTCATAGGAGCCAAAGCTTTGTATGGCCCATTGAAGATGCTGGTCTCATCGGCAAACAAATGAACTTCATCGATAAGCATCCACCGGACCTGGGTTTTGAAAGCAGTCTGCTTCAGACACGATGCAATACCTTCCCCATTGGAGAGCATTTGTGGGCTCATCACCGCAACACGTATATCATCACCACGCCCAAGTTCAGCAAATAAATTGACCCCAGGCTGACGCACAGTATCATGTGTAAGAGCCATTGCTCGGAGGCCATACTTCCTGGCAGTATTGGCCTAAATATGGCAATACAATGATTAGCTTCATATAAAACAAGATCAAGAGTCATATTAACCTGTTGAATTGCAAGAGCTTTTGTAGGAACAACAAAAAATGCAATTCCAGGTTCCCCACGAGCTTGCGCTGCAATGGCTCCTGAAAGCATGAATAAAGTCTTTCCAGAGCCTGTGGGAGATGCCATAAAGACATCTTTTCCTTGATTCATCTCTAAGCCATACTTCAATTGTAATGGACGCAATTCAGAGAGGGAGGAGGCCGATTTGAGTACAGACTCGAACCATTCAGGAGTATTGACTGCATGTTTGTTGGTAGAATCTGGATCATTCAGAGGAGCGGAAGATGATTGCATATTACGAAAAGGATATGATAGAAGGAAGCTGATAATTCAGGCTCTCATATGAAAGGCGTAGTGTATTGGGGAAGAGCTTAGTTAGAAAATTTGAACGTGGCGCGCAACGCGCCTGCCAAGGTCAGCATATTTGACTCAGCTGACAATGGTCGGCTCATTGCGGCTTGATCTTATTACAAACTCCGAGGCTACTCTCAGTGGACCCCTCTCGTCCGTCTCAGACTATGTGTAGAGATCCGGTAGAATAGGTCAGTTGCGATATTGCTCTTTGACAAAGCAGACTGTCATCGTCTTATAGAAGAGTTTGTACATTCATGCTCATGCACTACACATATCGCGACCAGTATAAATCAGTGATCCACCTTCTGCTATTATGTGGCACATTTTCTCTGCGCTCGAAGAGGCAGAGATTATATAATTGATAGTCCAAATTGTCCTATCCAATAGACGGCTATAGACGGGCTATTCCCAGTGGTGCTGAGCCTCAAGCCTCAGGATCCATACTCTCTATTGACTCGATCTCAAATTCTCGATCCGTTGCTTCACCTACGCACCTGCTAATTGGAAAAAAAATACGTCGTTCACAGTTACATACAGGTTACATATCATGAGAATACGAAAGTACTTGCACTGGTAGTGATGAGCAGGACCGTTTGAGACCGTGACCGTTTGCTTAATGTGAGTCCCGCGATTACCAAGGATTGCCAGCACTGATTCTATGCCCATGTGCCTTGCTACCTGTAGAATCGTCTCCTCCAACGTCCAAGACCTCTCGAAATATGAGAAGATGGAAATTGTCCCATAATCATCCTCATTTCGATAAATTTTTGAATTTGGATGTTTGGTCGAGTAACGACACGTCAAAATTGCGCGTTTGCTTCGTTCTTCAAACTTGGTCAAAATTGTACTGCAAACTTTAGTCTTGTTTTAAACTTTCCGACTCCACCATATGTAGCTCGGGGGGGAGCAAACCATACCCGCCATTGCGTCGCGCGTAGCCGTTTTTCGAACCAATCAAAGTACAAGAGGTTGTGTGGCTGTGAGTTGGGACCCTTATTGTAAAATCCCAGCTTCCAATATCTTCCAATCTCAATTCCTCTCGCTATAGGTCTAGTGCATGTTCTTCAAATCTGATGAGAACGCTCAAGCAATTTGTTGAGCGTCGTCTACTTTGATCATTATCGGTCAAATTTGAAGAAAACGCTGCCCAAACGACGTAGACATGCGTGAGCCTCATGTTTCCTTCTGCCCTAGCCGTCGCCACTCACTGACAAAGAATTCGCAGGTCTTTGTTTTTTCCTGAAAAGGCTTTTTTTCTGACATATGGCAACCAATTCCATGAAATATTTCCTTTCTGTTAAGCGGTTGGCATTGGCGCCAGTGCTTGGACCGTCGAGTTTCCTTCAAAGGAGATTTTTGAGTGCCACTCGAGCGTACGCTCTATATAAGGAAGAAACCGACTTTTGCTTCGCACACCAATCGACCCAGTCGTCAAAGTAGATATAAACCCGCCAATTTAAAGATGCCCTCCCGCCATCAACGAGTCTTCTGCGCTCTCTCTCCATCTGGAATAACATATTCTAGTTATTCCCCTCCTTCTATATCTCCTTAGAAGCCAATCTCCTCTATATCTTCTCCAAATGCCCCGCGCAACCACTTTTGTGAGTATGAACCTCGATATACAAATACCGTTCCTAACGTATATTTGGCAGAAATTCATCAACGAGTCTTCCTGCGAATGCAGCGAGTGCGGTCTCGTACTTACTCGTCCTTCCGATATGCGCAGACACATGCACACCCACGGCATTGGGATGAGCCAAGTGTAAGTGCCTTTGTCGAATATCCTCTCTGATCTTCATACTCATGGCACACTGTAGGAAATATCAATGTACATGGGCCGATTGCTCATACGAGACCATTCAAAAATCCAATTTCGACACACATTATCGTACGCAGTAAGTTTCGGTTGCTATAGTTCGTACGCTATCGTGCTAATTTCGATATACAGTCTACAAGACAAGTCTCGAGCTTGCCCCAGCTGCGATTTCAAGACGTGCGATCCTGGATCTCTCACGCGTCACCGGAAGAGAATTCACGGCTACGTACCCAAGCCACGAAAGGCTCGTGCTACCAAAAGGCAACAGGATACTTCCTCAGATCGGTCGATCTCCCCTACATTGACTTCTGTCTCTTCCGAGTCAATTTCAGGTCTATCTTCGCCTTCGTCGTCGTCGAGCCCATCCTCCGAGTCAACCATAGATTTCTCCTCACTGACGTTGGCTTCTGAAGTTGAACCAACTACCACCCTCCACATTGATGAGGAGATTTGCAAACCTTTCTTTCCAGAGGTTCTCCCTACTGACGTTGATCTCTTTTACGAACCGGACTCAGTGAGCGGTTTCGGCTATTCCACCTTCGACGACCTCCGACCTCGGCCTCTTTTCCCTGCGGTAGAGAGTACGCCTTCTCTGGAGCTATTTCAGCCACTTCATTCCAGCTTCTCCCCCGACTTCTCCCTCCTTCTCGCAGCAACGCACAAAACTTTACCTTCCCCCACAATCAATCACGTCGATGATCAGGCCCTGTATAATATCCCATGCGGCGTATTCCTGGAAAACGTTTGCGACGAGTTTCTTCATCAACCGCTACCAACGCCGTATGACTCGTTCATCCAACAAATGGCAGAGATGGATCCTTCCGTTTTTGTGACGATATCGGATTATGATTTTAGGGTCATTTTTGGTTGCGATTATGAACACTTTGTTGCTGCGAGAGCAAGAAGTCCTTCTCCGTGGTCTAATACACTAGGCTCTTCTATCAACCATGTAACCTCTAGCATACCAGGCTCCTCTATCAACCCTATCACCTCTACCACCAGTTCTCCAACACCTAAACCGTTTACAGGTTCTCTTCTCGCCGAACTATATGCACCATAATTGTATTGTACTTTCTCTTCGGGACTCTTCCTGGATATATATTTCATTATTCATATCTACTACGACGGATGTATTATCACAAAGTGTTGCCCAGATGGGCAAATAAACCCATGTCGAGTCACTGCAACAATGGTATATATATGTAAACAAACCAGGAAAACGCGTCGCAGAAAGTCATCGGACAAAACCTGTCAAAACCTGGGTTTGAACATGGCAGTAAATTCTTGTTTTTGTTTCCTCAGGTCGCACTGTATCGTCTGAAAGCATTCCTCCGTTCATGATATATATAGTTTCATATTTTTGCGATTCATTAAAATGAAGTTCACTTACAATGTAATGTTTTCGTGTACTCAGATTCCTTCTCGACCATATCGTGCTGCGCGAATCCCATCTCAACCATCTCTCGGAAGGTCATCCAAAAAATATTATACTATTGTACTACTGTGAGCAGTGAGAGGAGGAATCCTGAGGAATCTGTTTCTGCTCTCCTTGGTCAAATAGCTTACTTAACCTAAATGTGTCTGAGTGTGCGAAAACAACGCCTTACTTTGATTCTACTTTTCGTTCATCAGCATGGGGAAGCTCAATATCGCTCACCATAAATCCTATCATCCTTATCGTCGTGATAACATCGAAAAGGTCCGCCGGGATGAAGAGGAAGCCCGTCTCAAGGAAGCTAAAGAAGAAGGTAGAATATTGCTAGCGGTGAGCAATACTTTCCCATTCGATCCTCGAGCACGTATCATTGATAATTAGGACTCTGAAGCTCGTATAGATCTTTTGCGACAAAAAAATAGGTCCAGCAAGAAACATATCGATGATGAGCTCCGTCAGCTAGCATCTTCTTCGACAGCAGCACCAGCACCCACTTCCCTTTCTACCTCCGGAGGTCATATCAATTTCTTCGAAGATTTGGAACAAGTTCGTGTACACCTTCAAGCTGATCCTACATTCCTCATTAATCTTTTTCTGATCCAGAATGCTATAGTAGCGGCTGCGAAAGCGTCGAAGAAGGATTTACCAGCGGAGACAGATAAGGGATTCGCATTGGCGCCTTCCGCCAAAGACCTGAATCCTTGGTATTCTGGCAGTTCCGATCAGAAAAGCCTGGATGAGAATGACGATAGAAGGTGTTTGGCCTCTTCATCCAGTCTCCTTGTTTGGGACTAACCCATACCTATAGAAAGCGGGACACTGCTCGCAAATCTATTCACGACCCTTTAACCTCCATAAACCACCAACTGGCTTCTTCGTCTACACAATCATCTGTCAAACCTCGCCTTACACGTCCATCGCCTCCAAAGTATCCTTTGCAACCACCAGAAGTTAACGCACGGCTATCCCGGGAGTCGGCTGAACGAGAACGTGCGTTGGCGTTAATTCGGAGGAAGAAGAGAGAGATGATGGGGAGTGAGACACCGAGTACTGTTCGTGGAGGAGACAGTGCTTCAGAGTACGGTGATATGTATAACAGGAGGGATGTTGAGGATGCTCATCGTCTTCGCGATCAAAAATGGGACGATTATAGACCTAGGCGGCGGGGCGATGATTATCGTCGTTGATTGTTCTCCCATGTTGGTGGAGCTTAATCACTTCAAGTTCCAAATTCCCACTCAGTGATTCTTTCAATCTCTGGCGCACCAGCAAGCTGTATTGTATGACATTTGAACGCATAATCCAGATGTATGTCCTGCTATGAATATTCTGCTGATGTCGATGAAGTTCTAATTCGGTTTTCTCTCATCGATTCTGTAAATCTGATTTGCTACGGTCGTAGGTATCAGTAAAGTAGTGGCTATTGTAACCACCTTTCTCCCTCGGTCGGCATAGCTCTGCATCCAGAATTTTCACTTCTCCTGCGTATACAAGAGCTGGATTATTTGTCTCACAGGTGACGGCTCGGTTCAAAAGCAATCAAGCCTATATGTGTATTCTCTATAAGGTATTGCTTAAGTTCATACACTTGATTTTTCGCTACGGATGTTCCTCTACTCGTGGGCACACTGGGAAATACCTATACTAGGAAACAAGTCACTCAGGTCCTCTGAACATTTCGAGTTGGAGGTGAAGATAGCGGAAAGTGTCCCAAAGCCCTTATTGAGCTGCAAAATCTCACGTTATCTCCATGTGGCGTGTCAAGAGTTTAATTTTTCTACATATGTCGTCCGAGGAGCTTGACGTTGAATATTCGATTTGACTTTGTTTCAGTACCAGGAAGGTGGTTATGCGTAAGTCCTAGCTGCTCACAGACTTACACTGACAGTGAATGAATGATTATAGAAACGAAAAAAGGGAGATAGCACGCGTGATATTTAAGTCGTTGACCGGTGCAACTTCGCTTGCTTTTCCGAAATCTAGGAACCGTGAGTTGGTCGTTGCTCGCTGAACACCGATGATAGTTCTAAGCAGGGGGCGGGCAGCGGAGTTTTCCGTGAAATCAACTGGTGCAGACCCCCCGTGTGAACTTTGCGTTGCCGACAGCGGCTAGCATCGGCTGTCTTGATCCCGTTGATCTGTCTGCAGTGTGCACTAGTGTGCACCGTCGACGACACCTTCGTTCTCCTTGTTTTCCCTTTCATATCAATATATTCTTCCTTAAATCATCATTTTCTCTTTGCTATAATAATGGGCCATAAACAAGCACCTACAAGACATGCATCTGTAGTAATCATTGTCAATAATGGGCTTGCTATCTATTATCTATACAATGTTCCACCATTCAGAACAAAATACCCTGTGATACTTATACAAAGAGGAGATAGGCAGGTACATACAGCAGAGTGCCCGGTTTAAATAAGAGTCCTCATTGCTTACAGTCTTTAGAGGTTCACGCTGGGTTCATTGCACCCTGATCGTACCAACGCGCCGAAGTTCTGATGCCATGTTGCCGTGGCTGGCAAGTCAAAGTTCGCACGGGGGGGTCTGCACCAGTTGATTTCACGGAAAACTCCGGTGCCAGCCCCCTGGTTCTAAGATTCTTTTACGGAAAACCCTGCCGCGGAACATCAATGTCACGGATCCACGATCTATCATCATGATCTATTCTCTCCACTTTTTCGTTCACGGGGTTCACTTCGAAACCGTGAATACATTGTGACACATCCTTAGAATGGGTATGTATGTATATATAAGATACAAATAATTTCTGTGCTAGTACAAACTGTCCCGCTCGGTTTTATCTCTCTCCCCCACTTCACGAAACAAACTTACGATGACTGGGTCAACCTCTTCCGACTTGGAAAAGGATTCCATACGTATCAATGAAAATGCTAACGCCACGACAACGCCTCTTTACAATGAACATGTCGATATTACTGGGGTAGATGAGCGCAAGCTATTACGCAAGATCGATATCGCATTGATACCTTGGCTCTCTCTCTTGTATTTGTTGAGCTTTCTGGATAGGACAAGTATTGGAAAGTGCGTATTCATTATGATTGTGAAACTCTGTACTCAAGATTTGACGTAGTGCCAAGGTACCATTCGCCACCGAACCTCGGTCCAGTGTGCCTAACGATCTTTAGCTTTATAATCTCGAGAAAGACTTGAACATAACTGGTAAAAGAATTCCTCTGTGTTCATCCCTGGAGGCATATGGATCAGCACAACTAATTCTAGATTATAGACACCCAGTATCTTCTCGCTTTGACCGTGTTTTTCTTTAGGTATGAGTTTCTCTGTAGTCGACCACAAACATCTGACTCAGTCCACTGACTGACAGTTATGCCATTTTTGAGGTAATAACCGAGTCTTGTCAATGACAAACGCTTTGACGCCATGTTCTCATTCACTTCAGGTCCCGTCCAATGTATTTTTGAAACGTCTGCGTCCTTCGCTCTGGCTGTCCGGTCTCATGTTCTGCTGGGGAATTATGATGGTCAGTTCAAATTCGTGGTTGAATGTTGTAAACTCATACTTATCCTGACGATTCGGTCCAGACTGTGCAAGGCCTTGTGCACAACTTTGGAGGTCTGACAGGTGAGGATCATTCAACTATCATAATGCCTGAAGCGTGTTTAAAATACTCTCGCCCGGATAGGGATGCGATGGATGCTTGGAATGTTTGAAGCAGGTTTATTCCCCGGTGTCAATTATTACTTATCTTGGTTGGTATATGTTCAGTAAGTTTCTCGAACAGTGGCTAATTCCACTCGAAAGCTGGTACAAGCGCTCCGAGTTTGGTATCCGTGCAGCAATATTTTTTTCGGCCGCTACCGTATCTGGAGCTTTCGGTGGTTTGCTTGCTGTAAGCGCCACTTTTTGCCAATTTTTTGCTGAGTTCATAATGCCCTTATTATTCTGCTAGGCTGCCATCTCCAAGATGGATGGGATTGGCGGAAAACCTGCTTGGGCTTGGATTTTGTTCGTCAAAGGTTCTCTCATCGAAATCTCCGGTCTGATTGCTTTGATTTAGCATCCTCGAAGGCTTGGCTACTGTTATTGCCGGTGCTCTGTCTTTCTTCATCATTCAAGATTTCCCTGATACTGCGAAGTTCTTGACTGAGGCAGAGCGAACGGTTGTCGTTCGTCGGCTTCAAGGAGACGATCAGTTCAGTGCTGCAGGAGAGAAATTGAGGATGAAATATATCTATAAGAGTATACTGGATTGGAAAACATGGATCGGAAGTGAGTAATCCGATCATTAACACATTGCTTGAGTTTTACAAAGGTTTATGTAGTGATTGTCTACGTTGGTGCTGACATGCCTCTAGTTCAGTCAAGATTTATACGCAAGTATCTATCAATTTGACTCAACTTCGTTTATAGTACGCGTTCTCCCTCTTTCTACCTTCTATCATCAACCAGGTATGTAATTTCTCGTCCACTCGCCTTCGCTAATACTCATCTGTGTGGGTAGCTTGGTATGATCTCCTGCTATGCGATGAGTTGGTTCTCATCGTGCAAAAAGGCTTCAAGGCCACCCCCGCCAATCTCTTAACCGTTCCTGTGTATGCCTTTGCCTGTCTCATTACCTGCGTTGTCGGCTTTCTGGCAGACAAATGGGGTCGTCGGGGATATTTCAACTTGTGCGTAATTTTTCTTCCATCTCTTTTTCGTCTAGCTTAGGATGTCAATATCAGGGTCTTCCTGTGTCTTGGTGAGCGAGATCGCGTTGAACTACCTATGAGAAAGATATTCCTTACAGCGACATTCTTGAGGTGCCGCCGGATACATTATCTTAATTGCTTCAAGGAACGCAGCTTTATCTTACTTCGCTGTATATCTCGCTACCTGGTACGTATTTCCGTTACCTCCGGAACTCCGTTCCCCGTTAATTATCGCTTTGCAGTGGGATTTATCCTGTCATTCGTGAGTTCATTTGGTGGAAATAATAGGCCCTCCTTGTTGACCCGTATGTTCCGGAACGCAGCGAACTCTATGTGAGAGCTTATTCCAGTTTTCGTCGATCTATTCTGAGCTCGTCTATATCAGTGCGTGGGTTTCGAACAACGTAGAGGGTTCCTACAAGCGCAGTGTCACGCTGGCAATGGTGATCAGTTTGTGAGTAGTAAATCCTTCTTCTTTGGCCAATACTACATGTTGAAAATTCATTAGTGGAAACATCAATGGAGCTGTTAGTTCTAATGTAGTAAGTTTGTTCGGTTTTATACATTACTCACACACAGTGATAACATCTGGGATCAGTACCGCGCCAAAGATCAACCATGGTATCCACTAGGTATGAAAATATTCTTCACTTCTGTCTAAGCTATTATTTATTCTCTCCTTCTGCAGGACACGGTGCGCTATCAGTGTTTACTTATTTGGGATATTTTTTCTCAACTAACCAAAATTCAATGATAGGATTGGTTCTACTCTACATCGGATTGGGACTCATCTCCTCCACTACCTTCCTTGTGCTCCTCAAAAGAGAAAACGCAAAGCGAGAACGCGGCGAAAGGAATGAGATCATTGGAGATGAAAAATCCAGTGGCCATGAAATCAATGGCAGATACGAGACGGTAGCGGATGCAAAAGCAGACAAGGGAGACGAATGGAGTGGCTACAGATACACTATATGAATAAATGTTACTTAGAATCATCAGATACAAATTACCATTGCCAGAAGGGAACGAGTTACCTACTTCTGGGGAGCAATTAGGGGCTTTCCTGCTCAATAACGTAGACGTTTGAATGCCTTGTGAAGTGTCACGATGTACTCACCCATACAAGACATGAAAGAGAACTAACTGGGAATACTTGTACGCAACTATGTACATGTTGGACCGCAGACCACAACAAGAATTATGAGATATTGAAATATGAAACTAACTACAAAGGTGACGATGCAAAGGAAAGAGGAAGACTATGATGCTTGCGAAAATGCTAATTAGAGGGCAAAAGGTTTACCGATGTTAATTACCGATATTGTAACAAAAAAAAGAAATTACGGTAATTCAAACACCAGCACCATTGTTCCAGAAGCTAAAATAAGAGCCGGCAGAGGAGACAATGCCTACTGCCTTGCCTACAACACCTGTGTCATCGTTATCAGAATCTTTCGTTGAAATAGAGGTACCGGATAAAGTAGAACCTTTAGGCGATACTGGAGGCGAGGAAGAAGTGTTGGTGTTTGAAGGCTCGCTAGTGGAATGCGATGGATATGTCAAACGGGGTGATGATACATGAGGATCAGGTATAGTTATTGGCGACTTGCCGTTCATTCGAGCTATAGCATGGGCAGCACCACTCATACTAATAACTGGTGAATTGGTGGGAGTAGATTGTGACGTACGGACTTGTACTTTAACGGAAGGATTATCCACTGATGATTCGAAAGTATCAGCATGATCATACTGAGGCACGACGGTTTGAGATCCAGAAGATGAGGAGGAGACGCTGGATGCAGCATCCGGGCCCAGGGAGCTGACACACTCGACCGCGTCAGGACTGAGACTATGGCTTAAATGTCTCTCCGTTCGCTCTCTACCTCGTCCACCATTGCGATTTGACCGTTCTCGTTCTCGTTCCCGGTCACCTCCGCCTCGTCCATTGGCACTGTATGCAGAACCAATTCCTTCGGGGGAAAGACTTCCTAGAGGAGAACTGTGATTTGAGCGAGACCGAGATCGATCTGGCAAGGAGGATGATGTTCTGCTTGCTCTGCCGCGCGAGGTAGACGGTTGCTCCGCGGGAACGAATTCACGGCCACGTAGAGGAGGTGACAGTAAAGAGGATGATGAAGGAGGAGGAGATGAGACGTGCTCTGCTCGTCCAGGGACAGAAATTGCAGGAGTACTTGATTGGGAAACATACGAGGGTGAAGGGGTACGTGAGCGTGATCTTGATCGTGACCTCGACTGACGTTCTTCATCGACCGCTTGAGCATTGCTATTGCCTTTGATTGTCACCGGGCTCGAGACGGCCTCGCTAGACCTTTGTGGTTTACGTCTAGCCGAAAACTTGGTTTTTCGGTGTGCGAAATCTTCCCCGAGGTCAGGCCCTCCGAAATAATCGTAAGCATCCTCCTCAGCAACGTCATCATCATCATCTTCCCGATTGCCATGAACATTCACAGCGGGAGTTCGTACAACGATCGGTACAGATGATGACCGCACGCCCAGAACACCATCCTTATCTGAGCCGATAGAGAAATATGCCTCATGGTGACGATACACCTTGTCCCCATTCTCTGATGTTCTTTCTTCTACTGACCCCACAGTTTTGTCACCGCGTACGTTGTCCGCATCCTTCTGGTTCGCATCCTCCCGAAGCTCCACCTCGGCTTCCGAACTGAGGCTGGTGTTCGAATTGACGCGAGGTATTATGGAGTTCCCATACCTGGTCGTGGCTGGTGGCATATAAACCAGTCCAACAGGTGTACTCCCTTCACTCTCGTTGTTGCTTGAGCCGATATATAACTTTGCACCCCCTGGACCGACATGGATATTGCTACCATCATCACTAAAATCGTCTCCGAAACCCTCTGACCAACCACCGGATGCAGGCAAGCCATAAGGCGATTGTACACCATGGACACCGAACCCATCCCAAGAAGTCTGGCTGCCTGTCTTGAGCATTGTAGGTGCTATAGGTGCAATAGAAACCATTTCCTTGTCTGAAGAGCTTAGTGCTGTAGACGAGCTATTACGACCGAGGGATATCGAGCCTTTACGGGGAAGGGAGACATTCTTTGGCCCATCACTTCGCCTTCGACGGCGGATATTAGGAGGAATGTTTTTATGATTTGATGAGGCGGAAGCAGAGGAAGCAGAGGACGAGGACGATGAGGTGGATACTTTTGAGGTGGACCGAAGTCGGGCGCTATTCTTGTTATCGAAACTGTCCCGTCTCGAGCGCATTTGGATGATACCCTCCTCTTCCTCCTCCTCCTCATCATCATCACACGCACTTTCCCCGAGAACTTGATCAGCGTCGGACTCGGAATCCGTGCTGATAGCGCATTCGTTCAATCCCCAGTCTCCATCAAACCCGTCTTCGGCGTCCTCGTCATACCTTGATAGGAGGTCAGATGAAGATCTTGCGAGAAGATAATGAGGACTTACCCGTCATCATAACTTGCTTTGACAGAATCATGAGTTTTGGCATACCAGTCTTCCTCGACATCGCCGAGGATCGCGGCAAACGTCGTTTCTTTAGGCTTTGGCTGGTCGATAGCTATGCATTGTTCGACAAACGTGTTGAAGGTGATATGCTTCTTTTTGTGGCCATTGCTATGAATACCACCAGAAGGAGTCACCTCAGCAGAGCCGCCTCTAGGAGAAGAACTGGAAGAAGAGAGTTCGGCCTGTTGACTCTGTCCCTGAATGTGGGAGGCAAAGTAGCCACTCAGATTTGTGGCGCTATACACGTGGTGAGGCGAAGTATGTGATTGTGACGCATTGGTGTTGGAAGTAGGAACTACATTAGCTGCACCAGTGGGCTCAATGCGGGGAGGAGAGTCCTTTCTAAAAGCTCTGTTTGGTCCCCATCGCGTGATATGCGTGTCAGATTTTGTCTGGGAAAGAGAGGGCCGCGTTGGGTGAATTGACGCATCGGGATCGGAAGCTTCCCGAGACAATTCCTCGTTTCCGTCCGATTCGTTGTCGCTCTCAGCTGGACTGAACAAGGGACTAGGCAAATCGCCTGTGAGCATTTCGCTGATACTCCTATATTTCAGTATAGATTTGTGCTTGGGTTCTGAAAGGTCAAAGCGGTCATGAGCAGAAGCTGTTTTGTGTTCAGTCTCATCAGGCTTTGGTTTCGGTGGTGGTGTCCACTCTACGGCAGTGTGTAGGGGACCGTAAAGCCAAGTTACGTCAGAATCCTTGAGCCTGGAGAGCCGATATCAAGGTCGTGGAAGATTAGTTGTTAGAAGCAAATTTGAAAGTCAAGACAGCAAGATTACAGACCAGTTAAGTGTCTCCGGACTGACTGTCTTCAACTTATTTCTTTGTTTCCACCAAGTTCTCCAACTAGCGTTCTCAAGCCGGACGCCGTTCGCAATCTCATTTTTCTGCCTGGTCATGTTCCGCCATGATCGCCAGACGTCCTCCTCCTGCCAGTCATGGGTAAGATAGTCAACTTGTCCCCTGGGAAGAGTTGAGAGCGACGAATCGTCGGGAGCAGCATTGGAGCCAACAGAGTAGAGAAGAACAGGGAGATAGTTGGCCATTATCGGAGGATAAAGATATGGAAGAATATATCAGCTAAGGGGTTTAGATAGTAGATAAAATCGTTTTGTGGCAACGAGACGTTCGATTGAGGTGTCCGAGTTCAACAAGCCGTAAAAAGAAAAAGCCAAAGATTCTACAAGCAACCAGCTTCCGAAGCCTAATATGCTGAGGGCTGTTTATCGAGCGAGTCCACAAGACTGCCGTGTCTGTTGTCAGTAACGACAAAGAGAGACGGTTGATTACCGCTGGAGTGTGGTGGAAGAGATAGACACAAAATACGAATTAGGCTTGAGCGTGACAGGTTGACCGGTCCGCAGCTTGCCGAATCCCGACTTTTTCCATCATACGCCCGTTTAAGGTTGCTCCGACCCGACTCTATCTTCATCAAATTCTCTCTCCCTGGCCTTTGTTCCGCCCGGCCTTCAGCTTCATTGACTATGCTTAGGATCTAGTCGCAGCTGGCTAGAATAGCGCATGTACATACAAGTACAGGCCTCGGATGCTACATCGCTACATCAATCAAACTCAATTGTATGATGCATTGTGCGCCACTTTTCATATTCATTTCGGGTAATGGAAGAAATAAACCAATGATGCAGTAATCATTTCACAAAGCAACACTCATCTTCTGATTCACAATCAGCGCAAGGTCTGCACCGACTAGTGGTACTTTCCGTACCGGTTAACATACGTGAGCCGTGCTATGTTTATGCAACAGAATTGGCGTGCGTGCGGTCTTTGAAACCACGGAAAGGTCGGAGGCTTGTGAATGTTATGCCAGCATCTGTCTCTCCCCCCTTCTGCCTCATTGATCATATCAAGGTCCGTCACTCTAGTACCTTTGGCAAGAGGCTGTATTCTCGGAGCACTTGTACGCAGCCTTGCATGTTGTGCCCTATCATTAAATACTTCACGGGGCGAAGACTCGGGTCTACAGGCCCTAGTGAGGTTTTCTGAGGCTCAGCAACCCAAACAATCCGGGGAGCTAATTTGAGATCATGGTCAGCAGGTCGGTCGTTTGAAGACAGTTAATAGTTATGCTCAAGTAATGCTCCACATATCCTCTTTGATTTGTTCATGACACTTAAGACAGAGTGAATTTTGCTTGCACTTGCCAGAGCTGTACAACAAAGACTCCGAGCGCAAGGCTGAGATTGATGAGTCTTTGTCACCTTGAATTTTGAGCTGTTCCCGAACTGTAGCAATGCTGCTATACAAAGTTAAACATTTCAAGTAAAGAACAGAATCACTAACATTTTCCGATATATTTCCATCGATTTTCCAGAACCCGAAAGAGGCTTGAGTGCACCAGTATTGCAGAGTGATATCATCAAATTCTCCAAACTCAAGGCCCTCCAAGGCCCAGGGGATCAATCCAGGGGCAATATTCTATATTCAATGGTCATTGCCTGCCCAAGAAAAATCCATACGGCCAACCCCGATGTTTTGCATTCAAGAACACGACACTTGTATGACAGACGCGGGCGTCGAGAATTTGCTTCCTTAAAGCCCATGGAAACACCAAAAGCAACCACACTCATAAATTTATGATTCCAGAGTCTGCAGCCGGCTATGCAGGTTTTGTCGTAGAGGCTCCTCTAAATGCGACCCAAAAGCTCCTTTGAAAGATAGCTTTGTATATTCCACGGAACACATCTACTAACATGCAGTGGTAATGGCAATTCGTGGCTATCCCGGACCTAGAATTCCCTAAATAGTTACGACTTGAAGCCATTTTTTGACTAATTGGTTGGTGCTATCGTGCGTTCAGAGTTTCCCGATCCCATCTAAGAGCACCTTGGTTCCCTTTGCACCATCCTTCTCTCCTTCCTCAATCGCCTTAAGCGTCTCAGACGTAGACAGCCACCGTTTCAACTTCTCTCTCGAATCCTTCACTTCCTGAGTGGAAGAAGCATCTTCTCGAACGAGTGCTTCACACAGTTGCGCGACAACAAAACTTCCGTTTCGTTCGCCCTTGGTGCACATATCCTTTATGACAGCACCATCGTCACCGCCGACTATTTTGACGAATTCCACAGCAAAGGTTGTAGAGTCCCATCTTGGACTTATCTCTACTGTTCTGAGGCTGTGATTGAAATGCCCGCCTTGGAGGAGATTTTTGTATAAGCGGGAAGTATGTGGTAGGTCAAGGGGATGAACAGGAGTCGATAAAGATGAAGGAGAACTCGCTGATGAGGTGGAAGAGGCAGGGTACGGTGTAGTAAGGCCTCGGAGGAGAGCTTGGGATGCGGATGATTTATCTGAACACGACCAAAGGTGAACCAGTGATCAAGAAAGTTGAATTGCTTAGAAAAGCTTACCCCCTTCAGCATGGAGCATGATATCTGCGATTATCAGACTCTCAGCAGCTTCTCTTGCGAGCTCTGCACCATGTTCCTCAACCCAAGTCAAAAGCGCCTCGCTCGCTCCACGGCGAACCTCCTCTTGGCGAACTTCAGGTGATTTTTTACTTGTCCCGTCTCCTGTCGTCATTGCACTTTCCCCGTTACCTTGTTTCGTTGAGCCAACTCCGTCTCTGGCATTATCAGTGTCCCCGAGTGCGCGTATCTGTGCTATCGTGAAATATCTTCTACTCCGTGGAATGAGCAGATAGATGATCGCTCGTCGGCCTTGAGGAGACTTCACAAGGGTATTTAGCGTGTTTGGAGTTGTGATGATTGAAGCGACACTTTTTTGAAGGAGTTTGGTGTCACTGGTGGAGGAAATAAAGATCGTTAGCTCAATGGTAAACAGTGGAAGATGAGCATTCACTCAATGACATCAATTGCGGTGAAAAGCACCATTTGCGCTTCGTCATCCAAGCACATCCTCTCAATGTGAGGTTTTAGGGTTTTAAGGATCGTTTTACGGTCCTGGTTTTACGTCAATGAGCAGGTGCAGGAAGAGGCAGCGGAGGAAGTTTTACCTTCGCATTCCCCCTCGCCAAAAACTCCCTTGCGACCCGAGAGCCATCCTTAGTGTGTACCATTTCAGGAAGAAGTTCGGCGCAACTAAGATAGCGAGGCAAAATGTCATTAAGTCGCTTTGAACGAAAGGTGCAAGAAATACTTTTCAAACAAGTCCCTCCGTAGCTTCTCCGCCTCTTTCGCAGCATCCTCGTCTGCTATAGAATGATGATTATTATTCATTATTACACTGAGTGTAAGTGAGACGAACCAGAATCTTGCGTTCTTCCGAGAACATCCAGGTATTCCCATGTCGCGCAGTGTACGATGGCGTGTCGGACAGCGCCTTTGTCTGGATTATTGAAACTACGAGGAGATGAAGTTCATCTTATGTGACGCATAGGAAGGTAATGAAAAAGTTCCATACATAGAAATCAAATTTTCTTTCACAGCCGCTAAAACTCTAGCCTTTTTCTCCTTGTCGCTACCCATAGTTTCAAGGACGCCAATCAAACCCTATAAAAAGATTATCTTCGATTGACCCAGCAAATACAGATTGAAAAGATGGATCTCACCTTTGGACTTTTTCCTTTATCGTCCTGTTCCTGCTTTTGCGAGAACAATGCTACTTCCTTCCCGTAGAATTCCTTCACCAATTCAGCTCTTTGCGCACCGTTCGCATATAATTCAAATGCGTCAGCCAATACCCCGCTGGCTTCTCTGTGCAGAAGTAGACGAGAACGAGAAAGTACATGTCCGTGAAAAGATGATAGGATGTCCGCCCGATGGGAAGGAAGGAGTCGTATAAGTTTCAGAAGGAGGAACTGAGAGACAATCAATATGTATAACCAACCAGTAGCAGTGGACCCACGTACCTTGGCATACCGGTTCTTCGCTGAATCTGCATAACTTCCTTTCAATTCTTCACAGATTTCCTCTCTCTCTGCTTTACCGCCGTACTTGACAAGTGTTTGGATGATACGTGAAGCATCATGTTTGAATACGATCAATTTCACCTATCGAAAAACTTGATCCAGAATCGGTACAGAGATCCGAATCCAACCTGACGCACCTTTCCTCGAACGACATTCATCAATTCAGTTATGTGTTTCTTCCGTTCATTGGCACTTATCGACTGACTTCTTGCTAATGCCCATACCCTCTTGGCCTCCGAGATCAAATCCGAATGCGGTTTCGCAGCTTTTCGAGATTGTTGTAATACTTTCTGGGCAATGTGGCTTTCACGGGCGGATGTTTTGCCTTCTCCGGAATCGACCTGCATGGCATTGTCATCGTCTACGGCTTGGCCATCAAAATCGACATCGTCCTCCGCATCCTCCCAGTCATCTTCATCGTCAGTGTTTTCACTGTCGTTCGGAGGTGAGGTTGTGAGAGTAACAGGTATGCTGCGTTTAGCCTTTTTTGTTGTATTCGTATCTGGCTTCCCGGTAGCAATATCTGTTTTTTTAACTTTCTTGGGTGCTGGGCCGGATTGTGATTTTGCGGGGCGCTTCTTGGTAGTAGTTGCTGCCATCGTAAATTGCGATTACCACTGGTTGTAAGGCTATTCGGTGAAGTTTGAGGAGAGCAAGCTACATAATGCACTTTTCTTTACTGCCTGCCGATGTTGCAAAAATCACCCTCTCACGGTCGAAACAGGCTCTATCGATCCCGAATGTGTGGTCTGTGTTTCTGCTCAATTTTGCTACTCAGAATAATCTTTTCGTACTTACAAAATCAGCACATGTTTAGAAGGAAGAGAACGACTCAGAACCGGAGGGTTTCAAGCTCCAAGCTCCGTTGCAATTGGCTTATGTAGGCGTAGTCGGACTTGCAATCGAACTTGTAACGGCGTAGGAAAATCCTTTTGCACTGGTCCTCTGAACTTGACTCATCATGCAGACAATACAATGAATAAATCACTACTCTGATCCAAGGATTAATTAGGTGACCCGGGCCTCTGAGATTGTGGGTATGCGATCGATCTATTGATGTCAGTGCTAAAGGCAATGGAAAAGTTGGTGAGATCCATTGAGAATGGGCAATGGGCAATGAACCTGAAAGCCACCTCTCCCGCCATCGCGGTGGCTGCTGAAAATGTGCAACACCCCTTCACTTCGTCCTCTGACAACAATCTTTCTCGCCGTGTTATCCCTCACCTTCCTCCTCGTGCCAGTCTAGCTTCCCTCGCGAGCTTTGCTTATGACAGTTCAATGTTGGACCCGAAGCATTCTCATATTTCAGCTTTCCATCTCCTTCAAACTTCTGTGTTTTTCGGGAAATCTGCCTTCTATAACACTGAGAAGAACTCTGTAGTGGCAAATGGGTGATTGCACAAATAACGAAGGAATTGAATCCAGCCGCCCCGCAGCCACCTACATCCTTATCTTGTACGGAATGATGAATATCTACCATGACTAGGTTTGGTTCAAGAAGATATCTCAAAAGTCATTTTTTGCATACACATCTGCGATTTCTGCAGAGGACCTGGAGAACCTTCCTGAAATGACAACGGTTGGTCTCTCAGGCCTCAAGGTGGCGGTATGCGTGTCTTTTGGAAAGTAAGTGCAGTTTGACAAGACTTCGGACACTTTCAGAGACGAAATTGTCATCTCTCGACTCTTTATGCATCAGGGGCGATGACTTGGGCCAGTTTATTCCATTTTTTTTCACAGTGCAGGATCTAAACTATTCAAGTTAATGCTGAAGGGTGCGATTTGTGATAGACATGGCTCACATTCTCGATTTATATTCTAATAGCAAGTCATTGTCCTACCTCCTCAAGACAGAATCACAATGGCTCATCACTCCTGAATTACCTTGAACAGTTGATATACCAATGTTACAAGTCTTCTATGAATAATACATGGCAGAAACAAGAATCTTTGGTAATGAAAAACTACAGTTCATGGTATCCAATACATCCAATCATTTCAGCGAGCTGTTCACGGCGGTCTGCAGTAAGATGAGGAATATTGGCAGGCAGGATTCCATGATTACGGAGATAAGTAGTAGTTTCTGGACCGCTGAGTGCACGAATGTCAAGCATGGTACTGAGTACTGGAAGTGGAGCACGGCCTGGAGCCTAGCCCGAAACATTAGATTCAAATAGGGCAGCATGTATTAATGTACACACAGCTTGTGAAGGGAGCGAATTATCCAAGAAACGAACTTCGTCATACGGTCTCCCAACACCATTACCTCGGGTTTGGTTGACAGCCTGGTAATCATCCATTAGTACTTCGGTTTTTCTGCGAAGCTGTGAAATTTACAAAAGCGGAACGCCTATCGATTTGCGCGATCTGTGTCTGCATCCCTTCTAGAATGTTGAGGATGTTGAGGATGTTTTGCTGTCCATTCTGTTGTCCAGCGAGCAGCTCTGCAATTCCAGCGACTAGGGGAGCAGCAGCTGTGATATAGTACGTCAGTACATTAGGCAAAAGGGTTTTTAAAAAAGGATATATGCTCACGAGCAGGAGCAGGAGGGGCACCAGCACCATCCAGAGGCGGAAGTTGTGACAAGTCAAACGCTGCAACTAATTTGTGTTCATAGCGTGTAGCATCTGCATAGTGCAGCGAGGTGACATTGGGGTTTTTGGAGGCTTCAAAGATGTTTAGTGAAATGGAACAGGAAAAGCAAACAAAGAAATTACCAAGCTCGTCACACAGTTGCTTCTTATACTTCGCGCCGTTCATGATATCGGTCGGTGTAGGTGGGTTATTTGGATTTGCAGGGCGGAGGACATTCTGAGGACTAGGAGGTAAAACTACCTGGGTGAGGGGAAGAGCCATGATGGTGATGATCGACAATAAAAGAATTCTGTCATGTGGTCCTGTTTATCTCGCGGCAGGCGCTTTCAAATATTCACTCTTTTTGTCGCACTCCTCGATACACGAGGGTCATCTCGAAACTATTCTCGAACGGCATTGACAGGACAGTGTGAAACAAAATGCGAAAACATCTGCGAGGATATGGGATCTATGTATGGGAACAGAACTTTGTTGTATATCATATTATAAGCAGATGGCGAATAAACTGATGCAATGAGGATCATCGGCTTCATTTGACTGGGACATGGCGAAATTCTGTGTACGCTATGTACGCTCACCTATCATATCATATGTCTGAAAAAACGTCGTCATCGATTGGACGAGACGGTTGCGACGTAGCCTGCAAAGAGGTAGGTATGTAAGCACTTAGCAGTTACAAAGACAAGAGGATAAAGGTCAGATAACACAGATCTCCGCAGTTCACGTATGAAAATACGTTGCTCGGAAGAACGAAGGTTATGTGTTTATGAAAATGGATCATCAAGCAATTTATAGCAGAATGAAGGGATCGAGAAAAAAAGACTCACCACGTCATCGATCCGTTGTTGAACAGGAGAACGTTAAGACGAAGTGTCCTATCTCATAGTCTGAAAATGCGTAGTTGCTTCCTAATGCTAGGCAATTGATGACTTGAGGTTGTGAAGACAAAATTTAAAACGAACAACAAAGAACGGCGTCGAAGAGAGCGGAAATAGTGTCCATAGTACATATAAACGTCGTGTTCGGGATAGAAAGTGGAAAATGCAAGCTAAGTATGTAAATCCCTCACCACCGAAAGAGATATCACTCGAAAAATTGTAAAACGATGACTATTAAGGCCTAAGGGTTCATTCCGTGTTCACCTTGAGATCAGCTCGGTCTCGCTAGGTGACAAGAGCCCACGTCTGCAGTATAAGCTCTGTAAAATGACCATAGATAACAGTGAGTTTCATGGAGGTTCAAAGTGAGATTAAGGAAAGAAGGAAAAAATATTTCAGCGCTCCATGCTGCAAAAAAAGTCACGTGAGGTCGGAGCTTCAACTCTTTATTATCTGATTAGTACTACATAAGGCGCGGTGCGACAACTACTAAATCCTCGCCCAACTCCATCCTTCGTTTTCCGTGAAAGTGACTATGATATCGACGGGCTCAGCGCTGAGTGTGCTTGTCAGTACTATGTCGGTACAGTATTGAAAAACACGCCTCATTCGTCCCCTTTCGTACCTGATTAATCTCAGCTTATCTAGGCTTATCTCTGTCTAAACCCTACAGCACTCAGGCGCTTTGGAGTTAAAGATCCAGCTGGGGTCGGATGATGAGTGCAAAGTACGAACCATTAACAGGGAGGGAATGAATGTGGAGCTATGATACAACGTACCCCTTTCTTTTCCAATGATCTGAAAGTGCGCATGCCTACAAAGCTTTGCAGCTTTTTGGTTAAATTAGAGCTGTATGTATCGTTTTTAGCAGATTTTTTTTGTACTATGCTGATAAATCTTCTCAGTCGACCGCTCCTACTTACTCTAAGGCTTGCGAGCCAAAATGGCATAGAAAGTGGTATATGCCTCCTTCGAAGTCTTCCATTCTGCTGCTGCCCCCTGCACCAGCGAGTCATATTCCTCCACGGTTTTGACAATCCCGTACCCTCCTGCTTCAATCACGGGTACCTTCATACCCATCCAAAGTTCTCGCCACATTTCGCTATCGAACCCTTTGACCTGAGTGAACTTGTGCGGTGCAGCGGCATCCGCCTCCCCTCCAATCGGGGCATGCCTCGCTTGGCACTTTATATCCACAAACCCAGCCTCTTTGAGAATTAATGGAAGGTACACCGAAAGATCCCCGATGACCCCTCTCTTATCATACATCGTGTTAATCAAGAAAGCCAATTTCGTTGAATGTGGGCCTACACTCCACGAGCCGAAACCTTGCGCCTCGATCTCGACTAGTTCAACCCATGCGCCAGGTTTTACGACTCTGAACAATTCAGCAACGGCTAAATGCCAAAGAGCGTCGTTCATCGCAGCAACCAAAAGGCGTTGATGGGCGAAAGAGAATCTCTCGGTCCATTCGGGATTTGGGAGATTGACGACGGAGTTAACGGAAAACTTGATTTCCGGTGGATGGGTGGTGGGGAACTGTTCAGAAGATATATCAATGCATTCTATATCAAGTGTGATGCCGTCCGCGCGGTTCGTCTCGAAAAACTCAAGTGCCCAGATTCCTGGGGATCTGTGGGTTAGTTGTGGATCATAGAATAGAACGACAGATAGCAGATAGACGGGCTTACCACTCCCTGCAGCACTTTCCAGGACACGGTCGCCGGTTGCGAGATTTGTCGGTGCTACGGATAGTTTACCTCCAAATGCGTTGGTGATTATGTTATGTTGTGCGTTCAACCTACGGTTACATTCAGGTTGGTTTACTTGACACATTCAATTCTTCGGAGCATTACTGACCTTCTAGTTTCAACATCGTCCGCAGGGAGAAGATACTGTGTTGAAGCGTAATATCTCTTGGAGAGTTGCTCGCCCATTGGAAGGAGTGTCGATGTCATTTTTTCACAGCAGGAATTCTTTTATATATAGTTATGATCGATAAATAAAAAACTGATCAGCAGGTTTCTCAATCGATAAGTAGAAATCCATGGCCAAGAACTTACCTTCGAGTTTAAGAGTTTTTCTAGTGGCTTGCTGGTACGTCTTAACAATTAGTAGGCGGGTAAGGTACTGTCCTATAAATATCGGTAAATGCACCCATTTCTTTCATCTGTTTCCTTCGGGTTTCGTTTCATGGGCCTCCTCCTTGGTTGTCCTTTGCACGTGAGCTGAAATTACTCCAACCGATGTAGTCGCCGGAAAGCTGACACAGAGTCGCAAGCATTCGGCGGTGTGAAGTTATCGCGCGCGTGTGAAAGATATCGAACAATCAGCGCGATACATGATTTAATTCAAGCCCTTCCGCCAGATAGCAAGATAGATATTTATAAAAGGGACATTCCTGCTCATGCCTGATTTGAAGAAGTCTGAGAAGTGCTGCTGAGGCTGAGAACGGACAAGCAGATCAGGCTCAGTTGATATCTTCCTTGAATGTACTGCCATTAAATGGACTTGTCCATTGCCAACCGGTTTATTCATCGAAGTAGTGGATTCTCCTGCTCAGCGCTCAGAGGTTGGGAAATTGGCATTGGCAACCGGCAATGGATTTGAGGAAAGCATGATTTTCCCACGCCTTTTCTTTCCATGTTTCTCATCCATAACGCGTCAAATAGGTTCCTCAGGATTCCTTCTTCTGTCCCAAGGTTAGCGGTCGGCTGCGGAAAAGGGCGCACAAAACTCGCCCATGTATCCATACTCATTTCCCGCTCAAATTTCTCCACCAAAGAACCCAAGCGAAAACCCGCGTTAAGAGAGAACATCTACACGATTCCCAACCTTTTAACCGCGTCACGGATTCTCGCATGTCCAGCAATAGGCTGGTCTATCCTCCAGGGACAGTTTGACCTTGCAACTTCTCTGCTTGTTTACGCAGGCCTCACCGATCTGGTCTGCCGTTCTCTGTTTTGACGCGGGGTACCATTGATTTCTGAAATGCAAGCCCAAAGGCTGACGGCTGGATAGCTCGCCGCTTCAAGATGAACTCTGTGCTGGGCACTATACTTGATCCTGCAGCCGACAAGGCGCTGATGACCACGTTGACGGTTACCTTAAGCATGAAAGGGATGTTGCCTAGTACGTAGCAAATTATACATCTCCTTCTGACCTGTGTTGATTCCTCGTAGTTCCTCTTGCAGTCCTTATCCTAGGCAGGGATGTTCTCCTCAGTCTCTCAGCTTTCTACATTCGATATACTTCGTTACCCCCACCGGTAGGTTTACTTCTCTTCAATTAAGTTTCAATTCATGCTCGATACAGAAAACCTTTTCGCGATATTGGGATTTTGGAATACCTTCTGCAGAAGTACGCCCAACCGAAATCAGTAAGGTATACTGCGTTTTAGTTTCCTTCTTGGCCGATATCTGACTGCTAAGTAGGTAAATACTGGTCTTCAGCTCCTGCTCATGGGAACAACAACAATAAGCCCATTGCTTCCATGGGTCCTTGATGTTCCTCTTACCGGGTTACAGTACGTCGTTCAATTTGCCTTGATCATTTGCCTCGTCATATTCAAATGCAGATGGATTGTTGCGACAACGACGATCTGGAGCGGTATCTCCTACGTATTTGCTAAAGACGGATACCGAGTGGTAGCAGAAAAGCAGAAGGAAGATAAATAAACACCTGAACAGCACGAGTAAACGTTCGAATGGACACGATCGATTTTGCAATCGCTATCAACTATCATATACAGTAGTGTACAATTAACAAATCAAATGCCCCTACTGATATCAAAACTGAAATACAATACATTACAACATACGAGAAAAACATTTGGAAGAAAGGTGGATCATGATTTCGACGATTTAGCCGCCCTCCTTTGATGTACATTATCCAAAGCAGCAGCGATCGCTTGTCTCGACGCATTTTGCTTTCTCCACTGCTCACTTGCCCGTCTGTACAGAGAACAATGGTCAATTCAGAACTATCAACTGGGAAGGGATAAACATTTGCTTACCTTGCTCGAACAACGAAGATAATCGACTGAATAATGGTTTTCAGTCTGGGTTTCGTTGGTCGAGAAGGAGGCGCGGCCACAGGGAAACCAATTCTTGCGATTGCAGCAGAAATGGTTTTTTCACTGTAGATAAACGGATGAGCTCCTTTACTGGAAATCTGGAGGAGGTCGCGCACCTCTTTTCAAATTTATTCAGCAGAACTAGGAGATAGTGTTTCTGGTAGGCTAAATCGAACCGCATCATTGATTCCCGAGTGAATTTAGCTTTGAGGTAACGGATTTGCACTATCAGGCCCTTAGCTTCTTTGTTGTGCTGGAGCTTGAGGGCGGATAGCTGGCGGTCATCCCTACAACACCATCAGTTGAATGGACGATCACACGTACACGATGGAGCCAGACTTACATCGCACAAACGTGGTTCTCCAATTCTGCTCTCGCTTCGAGCGTCTTCGCACGTTGACCCTCTAATTGTTCAGTGAGTAGGCGGATCTGCGTTTGAGTCTGTTTCCTGGCTCGGTGTATTTTGAGCTGCTCTTCTTGGTGTTCCTTCTCCAACCTTTCCTTCTCTAACCGGAGCTCCTTCAAGTCACGACCAAAAGCCTCCGCGCTATCCCTTACACGCCTAAGGTCAGCCTCTAGCACGGCGACAGTCTGAGCGACATCACTCCGCTCAGCAGCAATTCGATGTTTCTCGGCTTCGACACGGTGGAGTTCCCCTGAACGATCAGAGAGTGCTTTACGGAGATCTTCTATTTCGCCCAGATATAAGTCGAGCTCATGACGGTGCTTGTCGTGTGTTTTTCGAGAAGCTGCTTCGCTGTCGAGGAGTCGGTTGGCGTGCTGGAAGATACGGCCGTTAAATATTTGTACTAAAGGATCATAGAAGAGAGAACAAACCTCTGAGATCTCAGAGTATCGTTGTTGGAGTTCCTTGTAATCTGTAGCAAGCAATGCTCGTTCTTCCCGAAGCTGGTCCATCGTTTCCGCATTCTCAGCAACTTTGATCTCGAGGAGCTTCGCCCGTTGGTCAATGTTTGCATTGACTGAGTGGGGATTCATGAGCAAGTACTCGACCATCAATAGAGTGTGAGTCTACCTCGTAGTTCGTTTTCTAGTTCTTTATTCTCCTTCTTACATGACTGTAACTGTGTTCGTACATCTTCCATGTCCTGTAAAAGTACTTGAATTTGAATATAATGGTCTTCAAAAACAGGATCAAGCAAACTGACCGTTTCCGTACGCTGCAATTGAACGAAGATCTGCTCCTTCTCCCGATCGACACGACTTTGTTCCGCGGTCATGTTTCTTAGTCGAGCCCGTTCTGCCTTGAGATCACTTTCAAGCTCAGTGATGGTGCGTCGGGCTTTCTCGAGGTCCTTAAATTATATTCATGTCAGACAATGGTATGCACAATGCACATGTGAACGCGACTTTCACGTACCCCTTGGATATCTTGACGAAGGCGGCCATTCATCTTCTGAGCTTCGGAAGCTTTCGATGCTTCTACTTTTATGTCCCGTACCTCAGCATTCAATCGATTAGCTGCATCCTGGAGAACAGCCTTCTCTCCAAGTAGTTTTCGCTTTTCATCTTCCCATTGCTTCTTGGTTTCCTGCAGCTGAGAGTTAACGGTTCGGAGGTTTTCTCGCAAGGCATCGCTGGTCTTGGTTGGAGGTGTCGGTGGTTCTGAGGGCAGGATATCGTTCCCTGTTTCAAACAGACTACTATCGACACGAGGAAGACATAAGCGAGTTTGACAGGATCGATTGAAAAAAAATGTACGCTTACCTTTCATCTTCCGAAAGATGTATTATATTGCGAACATCAACCTTGGTTAAGCATTTTTGGCATCGGATCCGTTCCAGGCGACGAAGTCTACGTTCTTCTCTTCGGGACAAACGAGCAATGTGGTCCTCCAGCGATCTGATTTTGGAACGAGCATCTTCGAGTTTTTTTGTCAAACCCACGACACCCAGACCAGCATCCTCAAGCTTATCGAGTTTATCGTCAATACTTTCGTTGGCACGGTCCAATTCCCGTTGCAACCTAGAAATCTCTGCAACAAGCGGGGAACCATTGACAAGATCCGCGGTAGTGCTATTAAGCCATGACATCTTTGACAAAATGTATGAGTTAGAGTCGGGTCATCAAGCGGTAACTTACATCTCGTAGAGGTCCACCTGGAGTTTTAGGAGCTCGAATGGACATCGAGAGTGCACGACGATGCATTGGAGAAATACCACTGTTGTTGATCATCTTGCTTGGGGTGTTAAAGTCGTTCATCGTCATTCTTAAGGCTTTGATTCGCTCGGATAAGGCTTCGTTCTCCTGCTCGAGCATTTCGATCTTCGCGTCTTTCGCCTTGTCAACAGCCTTCCGTGCGGGAGACTGGTTGAGTACAGTATTCAATCTCGCAATCTCCTTCGTGGCATTGTCGAGTTCTTGCTCGAGAGCTTCAATTTCTGCTTCATGAGCGGCAACCTGTGCGGCGGTGGCAGAAGCCAAACGAGATTGATCGATGGACCTAGTGCTGAGCTCCTTCTGACGCTCTTTCTCTCTCTCAAGAGCGTTCAGTTTCCCATTCACAGCAGCGAGGTCATCCTCATCCTCAGCCATCTTCTTTTCTGCAGCTTCGAGTGCCTCCTCCATTTGCCTTGCGAGTTGAGCAGCCCTTTCAGCTTCCTTGGCCAGTTGCTCACCTTGAGCCTCTCTATCTGCCGCAACCATTTTTAGATGTTGAACCTCCTCTTTGGCAGCCTCGAGTTCCTCTCCAAGGGCTTCAGCATGCTCAACGGCGGTAGACGCATCCTCCTCGATCTTTGTTATGTACTCTCGGGTAGCACTTAACACCTCCTCAGTTTTCTGATGAGCCTGTTCCAAATGACGGACCTCAATCCGTTGAGCTTCGATCTGTTGATCCTTGGACTCCAGAGTCTTTCGAAGGTCAACAAGGATGTTTTTATGCTCTGTGAGATTGCGCTCGAGACCATCAACGAATTCCTCGGACCGTACGAGTTCCTGCTCTAACTCTTCGATCTGAGAGTTGGCATTCCTCAAGTCACCCATGAGACAGCTCACTCGATCGTTTGCATTTCGCAATTCGCCACCTAGATCCTGGTTGTTTGCTAAAGCGCCCTCGGCCTTCTCTGCCCTTGCAGCAGCGTCATCTCGTTGCGCCTGAGCTTCCGCAAGCTTCTTTTCAAGGTCCTTCGCCTGTCCTAGAGCATCTTTTTCTGCATTCTGTGCGTTTTCTTGGGCAGCATGTAGTTTGTTTTCTAGATCGCGGACAATGTCCTCAACACCCTTCTGAACCTCACTCATCCTTTCTTTCCATCTCTCCTTATCCTTCGCCCGCTCTCGGGTTTCACGTTCCAGAGCATTCTCTACTTCTTCCTTTTCCTTCATACATTGTTCAGCCTCGTTTTTGAACGCGTCTACCATTTCTTCTAATTCTGCCTTTTCTTCCATCCATGCCTCATTTGCTTCCTCCTGTAGATCGCCCAAGTTGGAGACAGCGCTAAGGCGTCTACTACCCCCGCTTTGGCGTCTAGAGCCCATGGCGGATGCCACGGGAGTCGGCGGAATACTAGCTGAACTTGATTTGCCTTGATTTTCCTCCAGAATACGATTGCGTTCCATTAGTGCCTCATTCTCCTCCTGAAGTTTTCTGTTAAGCCCATGCAGATAGGTATTCAGCTTGTTGGCATTAAAACGACCAACCCCGTGTCCGGGTGCGTTTCCACCGAAACCCATCGCTGGATCGAAGGAGGTGTTTGCTCGAGGATGCGTTGTCAAATCATGGGATGAGGCAGTAGAGACAAATGAAGCACCATTCAATGCCGCTTCATCGTACGGAGAAAGGTGGGCCACGGAAGCTACTGGAGCGGGTGTAGACCACGGTAGGTGTTCGTTGTTAATTTCGTCGTTATTCTCAGGACGAACGGTACCATCAGTCTCTTCGCCAGGTTCAGACTCCGATGTTGAAGATGATGAAGTCAAGGTGTGAGCCTGAGCCAGCGGGTGTGACAGTCGGCTACTAGGCTTGAAACGGGGTCTAGGAGTTGCCCCAGCAAAAGCTGAGGGGAACGCGATCGGCGTGTGTTGAACGATACTTCGACTGGCAGGTCCAGGTATAACATCCATCATACTGGGAGTATCTGGGACGATTCTGTCGCGAGGATGAGGGGTGGGGAATTTCATCCTGGGGCGCGTCGTCGAATTGATTACAGACAAGAAGAATGAACGCCTGCGCGTTTGAGGTGTCATAGGTTCCTCCAAGGACATCTCTTCGTCGTGTATTGCATGATCTTCTCTATGTGCCTCATGGGATTCATCAGATGAGCTTCCTTCTGGTAGATTGAATCGTGCCCTCGGGCGAGTAAAAGCAGGAGTAGGCGTTGCCATCGAGGTCGCAGGTGAGGAAAATGCGCTCGCAAGACCTTCGGGAGAACGTGAATTCTCGTTCTTTATAACGGCGTAGGGCGTAGGGCCATCGTCGGTAGAAAAGGTATGCTCGGAAGTATCTTCCTTACCAGCAACAGATCTCTCCACGGACTCGTCCCTTCCCTCTATAGCCTCTGATCCTGACTCAGCGAGATATCTAATAGGAGAATCATGTGCATCGGTAATATCCATCGACTGGGTGTTGGTCGAAGTGTTCGGTTCAGATTGATTTAGACTGATGTTGGGCTCCGGGCTTTGTGGAGCGGGAGAGTTTGCATGAGAGGGCGGAAGAGGAATCGAAAGTCCCTGAATTGGGGAAACACTGGTAGAACGGTCCATGGCCAGTGATCTACCGCTTCGAGGTGTAGAATTTGAAGGAGATGACACAGGCGAAAGAGACGTCCGTGACAAGGACGGTGTCCTGGTTCTTTCGAGCATGGGCCGTCGCATAGAGACATGACGAAATTTACTGCTGAGCGGTGTAGGCTAGGTATCGTGTTATTTAAGTATACAATTGTTAAAATCCTACACGTACCTTTGGTGAAGATTTCAGAGAAACTTCGTAGTCGATGTATGACTGCTCTTTGGGAGTACGGCCGCGTTCTGGCTCACTCTGATACGGTGAGCTGATCGATTCTAAAGCATCAGTTAAGGAAACGTCGAAATTAGCGTCTTCATCCATCGGCATTCGTATCCTATCGGAGGTATATGTATATCCTTCAGGCGCGCTCTCTCTACTTCCTACAAGATCATCGTCTATTTCGCCAGATGAACAGTCACTCCGGCGTCCAATGTCGTCGTCTGGAAGTGACGGTATCGCGCTAATTTCAAAACTATCTGGGTAGTTTCGGCGGGCCGATAATGCTCTAGAGATGCTAGAATGAGCTAAAGAAGACCTTCCTGAGCGAGCGAGCGAGTGGGCAAAACGTGTAGTGCTGGAGGTGCTCGAAGTGGCACGTATGGTTGAGGCATGATGGGAGGAAGCAGCTGGTGTCGAGTGAATAGGGGAGGCTATGTGCCCAAAGCTTGGTTCTTCGTTTACTTCGTATTCGCCGTGATATGGTCGTGGATCATCGCTAGAGATGGAAATTTCTGCAGAATCATCGAAGCCTGGAACCGAAGGCAGTGAAGGCATATCCCGACTGCCTTCCGCTTCAATCCTTCTCCATATCCTCGAAGGAGTCTCTAACATTGAGGCCATACTGGCAATAAACTTCGCGTCCTAGTTGGTAGGTGGGTGATCCCTGCGTTTGATGGGTTGAATTCTAATATGAACAGCACACGTGACCGTAAAGGAAATTAATTGCCGACGGCAGTTTTTTTCGTTCAGTCCGCTCATGGCCAAAGGCTCTCAGCTTTCTCAGCTAAAATCGGCTCTATCTCATGCTGGAATCACCGGGAATAATAGTCAGAATGGGAAGAAACGCAAGCGCTCTGCGCCACAGGAGAAGGAGAAGGAGAAACGAGCCGCAAAATTAGATGAAATACAACGGAAGCTCAATCCTTTCGATCTTAAAGTCACCAAGTTAAAGCACGATGTAGGAGGTCGTAAGCTGAAGGGTGTCACCGGGAAACCTGCCCAGAGTAAAACAGCTGGAATTGAGCAGGTAAGTCTATCTCCTCCACATGAAGGGATAAGTGATCATAGAAGACGTACGGAATAGCGAAAGAAAACACTACTGAAGGAATATGAGGAGAGACACCGAACAGGAGGCATAATAGATCGACGTTTTGGTGAAAATGACCCGACCATGAGCTTGGAGGAACGTATGCTAGAGCGATTCACGAAGGAACGACAACGTGCTTCTAAAGGAGTTGCCTTCAACCTCGAAGATGAAGATGAGCTTACACACTATGGACAAAGTTTATCCAAACTCGATGATTTTGATGACATCGGACTCGAAGAGGAGGACGAAGATGATGAAACCGGTAATCAATTTAAGCAAGCGTCATTTCCTTTATCGCTCAAATCGCTTCCTAGGCCGAATTAATGAAGATATCGTTAAATACACACACTTTGGTGGATTTGACGATGACGAAGATGAGGATAACGGAGAGGTATCTATTACCCCAAAATTTTACTAATATCTGAAATTCATATCCGCAGCCAGCCAGGAAAAAATCCAAAGCCGAAGTTATGGCTGAAATTATAGCCAAGAGTAAAGGACATAAGGTATGTGTATATTTTCTATATCTGAACACGTCTTAACTTTAAGATAGATACGTCGTCAAATGGAAAAAGAAGAAGGGGAAAATGTTCGACACGAACTTGATCAAGCCTTTGATTCCTTACGAAGTCTTCTCTACGCTCCCGATCCGTCTGCAACTGGGTCTAATTCAACACCACTCGGTGCACCTGGTCCCTCCTTATCTGTTGCCATCCCTGAAACAGCATTAGTCGCAACAGAGAAGACAGCCAACTACGACCAAGCCGTTCGAGAGTTGGCATTTGATAAGCGGGCCAAACCTAAAGATAGAACTAAAACCGAGGAGGAGTTGGCGGTTGAGGAGAAAGAGGCTTTGGAACAAGCAGAAAAGCGACGAAGGAAACGCATGTTGGGTTTAGAAGATAGTGATAGTGAGAATGAAGGGAGATCTAAAAAACGTCAACGAGGCGGCGATGACTTGGAAGATGATTTTAATAATGAGGAGTTGGGATGGAACGGTCTGGGAACAGGGTTGGAGGGTGCCCATAGTGGAGAAGAGGAAAGCGATGATGACGGTACCGGTGATAGTGGCGAAAGTGCACAGGGTGCAGACGAAGATGATTCTGAAGAGGGGGATGATCATGAAGATCAAGACGATGAGGAGCTTGTCAGGACATCTCAAAAGAGAAGTTTGTCGTCTCTGAAAGGGAAGGGCAAAGAATTACCATTCACGTTTCCCTGCCCTTCATCGCATGAAGAGCTCCTCGAAATTGTCGACACTGTAAATGACGATGACGTTCCGACAGTCATCCAACGCATAAGAACTTTATATCATACAAGTTTGGCCGCCGATAACAAATTCAAGCTTCAGGTTCGTGACCCTTTCGCCGCTGATTTTCTCTTCTCACTGAAATGATCTCAGGGTCTCATTGGCGTCCTCATTGACCATATCCTTTACATATCCTCCCCGCCAAAACCGTCCTTTTCCGTTGTTTCCTCCCTTTTCCCGCATCTTGCCGCCCTCACAAAAGCATATCCCATCCAGTCTGCAGAACACTTTAACCGCAAACTCGTCCTCATGCACAAAAATCTCAAGCGTGGATTATCACAAGGTGCTCTGCAACCAGAGGCAAAAACTTGGCCAGGTTCCGCCGAGCTCACGATCCTCCGAATAATTGGTTCGTTGTGGCCGACTAGTGACATGAACCATGCTGTCGTCACCCCAACACGAATTTTAATGGGCGCATACCTTGAATTAGCTCGAGTACGGTCTCTCAGTGATATCACCAGTGGACTGTTCCTCTGTACGATTTTCCTTCAATATGAACAGTTATCTCAGCGATTCGTCCCGGAAGCGGTGAATTGTCTAGTCAACAGCGTTTTACACCTCGCTCCGAGCAAGTATCAGGATGCGTCCCAACTCCCGGGATCATTTCCATCGCCTGATTTTCGGTCGACGAACTGTCGTCACTTGACTCTTGACGCAAAAATGGCTAAAGGCTTAAAAATTCAACAACCTGATTTAAACGACCTCCTCACTAACCAGAACCACGATGCCGCATCGAAACTGAACCTTTTGGCACTTTCGCTAGATTTGCTCGGTCGATATGCGAATATTTCGAAAGGTTTAGAAGCATTTGTCGAAGTATTCGATCCCATTAACCAGATTTTGCAAAATCTCAAACTGGAAAAGTTTGAAGACGACCTTCAAGTATGTTGTTATACTTGCTTATTTATTATTCCCGTCTAACTTGTAACTACAGGCTCGAGCTACATCAACAAAGGAAATCATCGAGCGACTGCTCAAATTTACTCGTCAATCTCGACGTCCTCTGATGCTGCAAGCACACAAGGCCATCCCGATCCCTTCATATGTGCCCAAATTCGATTCTACGTCGTCCTCGTACCTTAGACATCAGGATCCCGATAAAGAGCGAAACGAGGCTGCCAAATTGCGGAATGAGTACAAGAAGGAACGTAAGGGTGCTATTAGAGAGCTTCGCAAAGATGCGAGGTTCCTTGCGGGGGTACAGCAGGCTCAACAGAAGGAGAAGGACAAAGGTTACAGAGAACGTATGAAGCGCGTGTTTGGTTCACTGGAAAGTGAAAGGGCGGAAGAAAAGGCAATGGAGAGGGAAAAGGCGAAGGAGAAAAAGAGAGCTGGAAGAAAATGATCTTTTTGTCTTATGCTTCTTTTTTTTTTTTTTTAATATCATTTTATTGCGCGCGGAGGCGGACCTCATGATGCGCATAGACTATCTATGTGGCCCCTGGCCTGCTCTAATTCCTCCAGGTACGAAAGCCCCACAGACGGATCTACATCCCCCTCTGGTCCAACTCGTCCTAGAGTTGTTTTTGTCGTCTACCTTTGCCTAAGGCTGGAGGAATTGAGCTGTACATATCTGTAATACATAGGAGATATTTGTAATCAGCGATGGGCTCAATGGAGCCAACGAAACGGTCGGTGGCATAGGGAATAGGATGGGATGAGTGTAGGTAGTAGTGTTAGCTCGTCTCTTGTGGTTAGTAGCGCTGTCTTTAACTACAGTTGTAATCCCTGATCTATTTTGTGCGCATGCCAAGCGAGGGTATTTGTTCGTCGTTAGGCTCGAGTGGTTGGGGGTGGGTTATTTGTGTCTGCTGGGGTCACGTCCCCGAAGGTTTTTTCGAAACGTTTTGTCCCCCCTACGTATCGTAGCAAGTGTGGAATGCATTTTTTGTCTGATAAGAGGTATTGGAGCGACCGGGTTTGTCTTCCTAGCTTTTGTCGTAGGCGAAATCGTTCCTTCCTGTAGGCAGGGCATTCAGTAATGTAGTGTTTTACCGTTTCTATGGATGTCCTCCCTGCGGTGTCGCAGTGTGGGCAGTTTGGGCTGTCGGCCTTTCCGATCCTGTGGAGGTGCGAGTTTAGGGGCACATGTCCTGTTCGCAGTTGGAATAGGATGCTTGTTTGCTTTCGTCGCATCTCCCCTGTATTTTCTGCAAACTTTGAGTTAGTTCCCCTTGGGTCAATGATAGTAAACTTCCCGTGTCACGGTGATTTGGAGAACCGGTGCGCCCATCTTGTTTTCAGGCTTTTGTGGAAATGTTGCCGTATTGCTGAAGCCGTGGCAGGTAGGTTTCCATTCCTCAGGTACGCAGGGAGGTCCACCTTTGCACTGGTGTTTCCTTCTGCTGCTTTCTTCGCTTCTCTGTCGGCCCGCTCATTACCCTCGATTCCGCAGTGTCCTGGGATCCATGCTATTGTAGAGATCTTTTCTGTGTTGTTCGCCTTGGCCATCCGTTTCGCTGTTCGTAGTGTCGCTTCGATTATGTTCTGGCCAGATTTTGGGAGGCGGCTTTCCAGTGCTTCTATGGCTGAGCGGCCATCAAGGCAGATTAATGAACTTAGGTGATTAGGTTCGTTCACGTACCTATCTATTAGCTGTAGTCCCAGCAGTATGCCTACTCCTTCTGCATCATATGTTGTGTGTTCTGTTATAGGTCCTAGCTGGTATCGGAGGACTGCATCTGTGAGTAGTTGACCGTTTTTGTACAGTACCGCTGCCGCGCCTGTCATTCCCCCATACCCTGAGCCGTCTGAGAAGATTTTGTATGTGGCCGATTCCTCTTCCAGTGATCGAGAAGCGTCGTCTTTCTTCAAGATCCTAGTTTCAATTGGGGATGTCCACTGGGCAGTGCGTTGGGGAGAGGTTATCGTTTCGACCGTAGCTGGCGATGGTGTCATGAAGTATGTAGCCCCTATCATTTTCTTTTTCTCACCGTCTCGACGCCCTTACTTGTACGATTACATCACTGTCAAATCCCATCGATTACTGACCCACCTGATCCCCATCATCGATTACTGATCCACCTGTTACCCTTCTCCTTCTACTGGCTTCCGCCACCTTCCTTGTTCCTAAACTGTACAGTATTACATCGTCATTTCTCGCAGATCGGATTATGTATATAAAGCCAGCCCCTCACAGCCTGGTCCCTCATCTTGACCTCTCTGTCATTATCTGGGACCAGGTATGTGCTTACTTATTGTTACCTATGACTACGATACTCAATATATCTCTGTCATTATCTGGGACCAGTTTGCCTCCGCTCCGCTTAGTCGCTCCGCCTCATCGCCTTGCTTAGTCACTCCGCTTTCCTGCTCCGCTAGTCACTCCGCCTCTGCCGCTTCGTGACATTAGGTCAAGATCCATTACTGCACTGACAGCCTACCGATAAGGTTGTCCTTGCAGGGTCTATAGACACCACGTCTTCCCCAGTTCCGCCCGACTCTGAAACACCTGTTGCCAGTATAGACTGCTCCGCACTCCCGCACGCACTTGACCCCAGAGACCAAGCTCACGCCCATAACAACGACGATACTTGGCGCGATTGCCAGTCTCAACCTTGCCCCAACGCCCTTTCGAACTCAATCCGAGAGCCACTCACCGTGAGCAATATCACCTTCTTGCCAATTCCCCAACCCCGATTGCCTACTCCTATCATGTCGACTCCTATTCCGCCTGCCACACCAGCCCCACCCGCCTCTGCAGAAGATCTCATGACTCAGCTGATTAAACAAGTAGCCAACCTTGCTACAGCCATGGAGGAACGCTCATCCTCCAAGTCCAACATGAACAAACCCGAGGTATTCAAGGGAAAAGATAGCGCTGAGGCGCGTCGCTTCATGGCTCAGTTCCAGAACTGGGCATCGGAACAACCTGATCTCACCAAGAGTCAGGCAAAGCTTATCAAGTCAGCCCTAGGGTTCTTCACTGAAAGTGCGGGTGACTGGGCAACCCCGCATTTGCTACATTTCAATGCGGAACATCCCCCCTTCGGAGGAGATTGGGAGGAGTTCCTGAAAGAGTTTGTTCAACGCTTTGAGTCAGTAGACCCGGGTATGGAAGCTCGCAGCGAGATCAAAAATCTCAAGCAAAGTAAAGGTCAGACAGTTGCGGAATTTGCTCAGAAGTTCAAGGATATTGGGGATCGGACTGGAATGTCTGACATTGATTTACGAGAACGCTTCTTCACTGCCCTACTTCCGGAGATCCGACAAAATCTCATCATTGTAAACATCGCCCAAGGACTTGCTCTGACTCTGAAGGAGGCAATCAAATGAGCCATATCAGTGGACGTCTACATGCATGATCCCACCATGACTGGCCGGAACTCTGGACACACTCCCACACATGCTGCTCACACTACCCTTGCTGACCCCCACGCTATGGACATTGATGCAACCCACACTAGTAATGGGAATACTAGGGAGGCATTCCTAGCCCGCATGCGAGGACGATGCTTCGGCTGTGGTGCCCAAGGTCATGTCAAGCAAAACTGCCCACACCGAGAAACTACCTGCCGTTACTGTGGACGCCGAGGACATCTGGAAGCAGTCTGCCAAGACAAGTTCATGGGACTCGGACGAGACCGAGGCCGACGCCAGCAACCTCGATGCCAGCAGATATCCGCTACGGGACCCACACCATTCTCCCTATTCCCAAATGAATCCGTCCAGATTGCTTCCTCGACCCCAACATCTGCCCCTGCAACCGTACCTGCTACTCCGAGCCCCCCTAACCAGGACTTTTCTAACCAGATTGGTCAAATAAGGGAATTACTCGATCGTGCTAACGCTATGTCTTCCTCGTCCTCTGGCTTTCAACAGGGTTTTTAAAGAGGGTACCCGCCTCGGCTGCACCAAGAGTACCCCGTAATCAGTTTGTTATGTTCGCTACTTCTTCGTATGACTCGCACCCATCATGTACAATATCGTCGATCCGGGAATTAAACTCCACTTCCCCACATTTCCGAATTCATGTGAGACTAAGAGGAAGGAATCATAGTATAACAACTGCAGCCATGGTAGACTGTGGAGCTACCGCCCTGTTTTTGAACCAAGACTTTGCCACCCGGAACCATGTAAGATATGCACCCCTTCATAAACCAATTGACGTCTTTAATATTGATGGAACACCTAACCGAGCGGGACGGATAACCCATTTTGCACGCCTAGCACTCACAGTGGATAATCAAGAGCGGTGGATGGACTTTCTGATCACCAACCTAGGAGGCGAAGACGTCATCCTTGGACTCCCCTGGCTTCGGAAGGTAAATCTGGAGATCGATTGGGAGAAAGGACGACTTTCAGTAAAGCCCCCTCGAGTAGCTATAGAAGAAGTCCCAGACGAGGAGATCTCATACTCTCATCGAGCCGCCGCTAACACAGAAAGCCCAATCCCTGAACTCCCGAACCTGGAACCTCCCGCTGAACCCCCTCACATTGAGGTGCCACTGGAAGCGACCCTTGAAGAGAGCGAATCAGCAGTGGTGGAAGAACCACCAATACACCGAATCCGAGCCAATCATAAAACTCGCCGGGCATGGGTAAAAGCAGGAATCCTAGAGGAACAGACCGAGGAAGTCTGGTGCGCTGCAGGATTCACTTACTCCCAGCAGCTAGCAGAGGAAGCCAACCGAGACAAACCCATTAAAACCTTTGAAGAAATGGTCCCTGAGCAGTACCGTGATTTCAAAAAGGTTTTCTCAGAATCTGCCTCCGAACGATTACCTGCCCACCAGCCCTGGGACCATGCAATTGATCTCATACCTGGAGCACCGGCGACCATGCGCACCAAGATTTACCCCATGTCCCTAAATGAGCAGGAGGAGTTGGATCGCTTCTTGGAAGAGAATCTGCGGAAAGGCTACATTGTTCCCTCCAAATCACCCATCTCGTCCCCAGTCTTCTTTGTGAAGAAGAAGGATGGGAAACTCCGTTTTGTACAGGATTACCGGAAACTGAATGAGTATACAGTGAAGAACCGCTACCCCCTCCCATTGGTGGCTGATATAATTAGTCGGCTTCAAGGGGCTCGATATTTCACCAAGTTTGATGTACGCTGGGGCTATAACAATGTCAGAATCAAGAAAGGCCATGAATGGAAAGGGGCCTTTGCAACCACACGAGGGCTGTTCGAGCCTAAGGTTATGTTCTTTGGTCTCACCAACTCCCCTGCAACGTTTCAAGCACTTATGAATGCTATATTTGCAGACCTCATTGCAGCTGGAAAGGTAGCGGTTTACCTAGACGATATCCTCATCTTTAGCAGTGATCTTCAGGAGCATCGACGAGTGGTACGGGAAGTACTAACCCGGTTGGAGAAGCATGATCTATACCTACGACCGGAGA